AAAGTTTTTCGAGAGGAATCCTCGCTTATCCTGAGTTCGGCATTTGGCAAATGATGATCCAACGTTTAACTAAATCCGCTCTTAAAATGATGTGAAGATTTTTTCATCTAAATTTGAGCAGTGTTTCCGATTACATTATTATTCATTATTGTTGCATTAAAATAAATTCCTTCTATAAGCAGCGTAGATAAATTATTATGTGATTTAATTCGCTGGGGTTTCAGCTATTAGGTACTTTAGGAAACTTTATATGAACACAATTTGAAATCTGGAATTCGGTAAGCTCATATCGGGCTGAACTAATTTCTTAGAAACATATCAGCTTTAAGCTGAAAATCCCGAGGAGCTTTCAGCGGACTAAATGACATCTGAATTTTTTGAACTAAAACTTCTAGAAGCTAGCGAGAGTCATCATCCTGGAAAGTTGAGTTCAGGCATTAAGAAAATTCGTATTTTTCGATGTAGGCCAAATTGTTGTTCGCTAAAGTAATTAATCATTTAGCCGGGCTATTTCTAAATTAACTAATTTGATATCGGGGCACGAAATTGAGTTTCAGATTAATTAAATAATATTCCATCATTAGAATCGATCACTAGCTGTTAACTATCGGATGGAGTCAACTATTGCATTATTTAATGCAGATAATATAATGTGTTTTAGCTGAAGTTTTAAATTAATTTGGAGTAATTAATTAGGCAAGTTTGTCAAACAGAATTCAGTTATTGAGTTTATGAGGGTAACTGGACTTGGACTGTAAGTTAAAACTTAAATGTAAAAATATTAATTTTTTAATACCTTTAGGTAATTTAATTAACGGACCAAAATGATGTTTCCCCTTTTGGTGGGGACGCTTTAAATATTGAAGTATAATTATTAGAAAAAGATCAAAACAGTTAAGACATTGTTTCGAATGAAGACAGGTTCGACATTGTGCCAATGCTGCTTGAGAAATTTAACAACCACTGAGCCTTTGAGATAATGTATCCACATCTATTACTCCGCTCAAGCTCAATTGCAATAATTTCAAAGATAATATTGAAACGCTTCGATAGATTAACCGATCCACTATCTTACAGAATAGGGTGAGCCATTATGAATCCATCGAAGCATAATTCACCTCGTCTCTTAAGGCGAATTGATTTAAAGCCCGACCGTGTCCTGTTCCTGATTCCGATTTCATAATTCAAAATGAATTGGACATTTAAATGGAATAGTGAATTTACCAATGGGCCATTTGCAATGGATTATAACCGAATTTTCGTTTTAGTAACTAATAAAGAAAGAAAAATGGATGACTGGAAAGCGTTTTTCCAACTAATGCCTGAGCACCTTTCACATCCAACCTTAAGGCCATGAAAATATTATTGCACATAATGGGTTGTCATCACACAATTTAGAGCCTCAATTGAAGTATTCAAAATCAGACACTCAATAAAGAAAATCCTATTGATATTTGTGTGAAACCCGGTTGAAATAGAGAGGTGTCCGCACCAGCTGCAAAACACAATAAAACCCTATAAATTTGGGATTACTGGCCACATTACCCTCTGCACAAGGGAAATATCGGTTTGGAATGGTCAGAAGTCAGGATATATTCGGTAGCAAATACTGCAGAATGTGGTCGAGCAGATAGAGGAAAGTGTTTGAATCTAATTAAAATGAGGTCTCTAACTTGGATTTATTCGATACATGCGGTCGTGGATATACGGAACTAGATGTCAACTAGACTAGGTAATATTAATTAATCAAAATTTCCAGGGCTTTATTTCAGCTGAAGCTGGAGCTGTTTTCTCCATTTGAAATACATCTCACCCGGACAGGTGTGTTTAGTTTTAAAACATTCTTTATTCAAATTTAGTCTTTTGAATCTTAAGAAATCAACTGCTTTATGGCATTTATCAAATTATTTTTAATGCCTTTTTCAAGAAAATTTAATTTTCAGGATTTTAACTTGGACATATCCAGAGATACAATCTGGAAATGTTCGTGCATCTTAAATCACTACAATCCGTCTAGTTTTTAATTAACTGAGCTCAAGCAAATTGTAGTTTCCATAAGCCTGCAAGTAAAATTGATTGAGAAGCTCTCTACGCCAATGAAGCGCAAAGTTAATATTTTCTAGACCGGCTGATTAGTAACAGTTCTTACTACTGACTTACTTACTATTGGACTAACACTACTGAGAATAAATTCAATGTAAAAATTTAAAACGAGGTCAGCTAGTAAACATTCCAGCCAGTAAGAGCTCTATGTCTGAGGATCTAGACCAGAACATTAAAGAAAATGCAAAGCAAAAAGACTAATCACTAAAAACAATTAAAGAAATACAGGAAATCTATATGTAAAATTAGTATTGCGATAAAAATCAAATGCCTATTAACTCGTAATGTGTAATTTTCTGGGGTAAATTTTTTATACAGCTCTAGAAAAAGTGGCTTTTTTTCCTTCAGCTACTGCCATCATAAAGTGCTTTATTTTCGCATCGCCTATAAACTTGTTAAGGCATATAGCAAAATTGCCTTTGCTCTAATTCAGCCATTTCGTTTTACCTAAATTGCGCTGTCGTATTTTTTCAGTAGCCCGCAAACCACATCGGTTAACTACGTGAGCGGAAAGAGCTATGCGAAAGTTAAAACTTTAAATGGGTCACTTTGTATCATAAAATAAGAAATTTCGTGGCTTTCTCTGAACCATTTAGATGTGAGATACGAATGCAACTTAAAATTTCGCATGTGCCTCTGTGAAACATTTATTACATATGAGAGTGTAGAAAATTTGCTACTAGTGCTTAGTGCATATTTAAGTAGAATGGATTTTTACGTTCTGGGGCTTTAACTACTAATTCTAAATTAACTTATGTCAGTGCATTGAATTATTTATTTAAATTTAATAAAGTGTGAGAGGAAGATGTTATTTTTCCATTACTTGTAATGTTTAACGCAATTTTCAAGTTACAAAGATAATGCATTGTAATGCTATTGTAACTTGAAAATTGATAATTTAAAAGCCTTTTGAAAATAGTTTAATTATTATTTAATCCGAATCACAAGATGGTGCTCTATGCGCTCTTTTGGACACCCGACCAAGCCTCCTCGGTCCCCTTAGACTGGTAAAACAAAGGGGCGCCTTAAATGGAGATTTCGATGCGTTTAGTGCAGCCCCACTTTGCTATTGAGTAGCGCAGTATCGGTTGTTTGTCGGTATAAACATTGAATTGTAAGCAACTTTTCAGCAATTTTTCAGATTTATTTCGTCGGATTTTACCGTTATTTCTACAATGTTTCAGGGATTAGCTATTTGGTCCAATGGAGAATGCTGCGCTAATAAAAAACGTTTGTTATGCTACCCTAAGTTGATTCGATTTATTTTCTAACTGATTAACTGAAATTATTTCAATTCTATGCAGATTTGTTCCAAACAATTGCGCAAAAACTGGCGACCTGTGGATCAGTGTTGATCGAAAACTTTTGGGATATAGAAATACAGATCTGTGAGAAATCACTTTTTATCTTGTGCAGTTAAAAATGTTTGTTGTGCAATAGCCGTCAAATTATAATTATTTTACTATTTTCATATGATTTGTCTACGTATTCATTAATTTTCTAATAAATTCTAAATTAGCAAATGGACAACACTCCATTAAATAACGGTTCATAGCCTATAAAAATGGAAAATTTTAACTTTCTTTTAGGTTTATCACTCGTATCCTAATATAAAACAAGAACTGTTTTTGCTACTTCCAATTTATTTTTTTTCCTTTTTAACAGTGTAACATTAAAGGAGCTTATTTACATTTTTTCAACTTATTGCCCACCGGACAAAGTTAGAAAAATGATTTCAGTAGCACAATATGATTCGGTATCAAACGTAGAGTGTCTTTGTTTGGCCATAAAAGTCAAACTTGTTAATTAACACATTTGGGATCGATTATTGAAGGAACTAGACAACCGAGAGTTAAAACAGAAATAAAAACTAACACATTATTAAGTTATCAATCACTTTCCTAGAGCACTAATAAATGTGGTAACAAAATCACTTAAGCATTGTGTAGTGCGACTGTTGTAGAAACTGCAACGAACATTTTCCACACGATATCTTTTAGACTGGCTCAAGGTTCGGATATAATTGGAGCAACTCATAACTGTCGAAAATATAAAAGGCCTGAAGAATTTAATATAACCACTCCTTTAAAGGAAACCAATTTTGGCGTCTGCTGCGGAATAGGATTCCAAACAAACAACCATATACGCCTGACGCGAATGTACAAGTTTTCAAAGGAAACGTTTCCTAAACGCCTTTCCAATAATCGTTCCCCATTTTGTCTACACAACTTGAAGGTTTAATCTGCCCAGTGGCTATGAAAAATTTCGACTTTCTTTTCAAAGCCACACGACGTATTCTACTTATTGACCTGTGTGGTAGGCAGCAAGTTGAAGCGGCCGGAAGTCGAGATGAGTTCTTTGTGCACACGCGATTTTTTTGCAATATTCCAACGGTGCATGAAATGTAAAAGTTTTGTAATGAAAACATGAGCAGTTGAGTCAGAGTCATCGAACTCCTAACAAAGCAAGTTACAGTTTATTTTATTTCCGCTAATTCTCAGTCGGTTTTTTGAACTTTTAAATAAAAAATCAGGTCAACTATCGTCTTTTAACTAATTTTCGTGTTTTTTCGAAACATGAGCGTTTCAATAACACAGTTACTCTTTTCCAGAACACTTTTTAAATTTAGACAACACAGATAAACTTTCCAGGGCTTTTAAAATCAAAACCTTAGTACTGCTTGATAAATTTAACGGCAAATCCCATAAAAAGCAGACTTTATGTAACGAGACGTATGCTTTAAGTATTATAAATGAGTGGCCTACATTACAGCCGTCCTTGATACGGTATATTCGCACAGGTCATACCTCCTTCATATTTCTGCTTTATCTAAATCTTTCCTGGGCTAAGTCAGTAGAAGTGAGCACCCATTATAGCTGAGCCATAAATCGTTTAGAAACGGTTCACACATATATTTTATTCAAAGAACTGGGACAACTTGTAAAGTCACGAATATGCTGAATTAAATCAATGTTTCGATGTAAAGTTGTCGATGCTGTTGAGGTACTCTCAATTGTACATAAATGGTAATTTGTATTTTTTTTAATTTCCATTACAATTTGACTACTTTCTTTTAATCATTTGTGATGGTTTGTTTATCGAAATTTGTCACATGCAGTTGCAAAAGTGTATTTTCTATGAAAATAATGGTTCTAAAACTCGCCCCGATTAAAAGCCTCGCCTGCCTGACAGCAACACACCTGCAAATAGAAAACAAAGTTTTCATTAAACAGAAAACAAAATTACATGAGATATTTGTAAGCACGCCTGCAACTGTTCCATAAATAATGCAATTGGAAGCTGTTTTCATTCAAAATCACTTTCATATTGTAGATCGATTACCAACTAATTGTCAATGAACTAACACGAGTTTTTAAGCGACACAAAATTTGTTAATACCAATAGAAAACCTGCATTTTAATTCCAATTTAAATGTTTTCAGGTCTGATTCGTTTTGAAGAGTACATACTTTTAAAGGCTTTTTTACAAGGCTATGCGATTACTTTTATGGCAGGTCATAAGAGTGTCAACTATTCATAGAAAGCAGCTTAGGAAACTGTATGCCTCCCCATCGGCAAAAATCTAATTATTCTCGATATTCGATATTCTCGCTTTCTAAAGTTACTAAAACCCTCATCTCTAAATTAGGAAAGTTTTTATTGATTCGGGCACATGTTAGGCGAAGTTACATCACATTTTACTGCAATTATAGGGCTACAATTATTGAACTAAAATATTTTATACAATTTTATGTGCAGTTAACTCCCTGAATTCGCTCATAGATGAATTTAGAGCATAATACCAGATGAAACGAACGATTTTAAAGCGAATAATATGAATGTCAGTAACACTATAAGAAAAAGCAAGCACTGAAACCAATCTATTAAATGCTATGGTTGCAAAAATAAAAAACCATTCAAAACATAAAAGAAAAAAAAAGTGAACAAAAGTTTGAGCATTACAAGTTTAGTATTTTAGTAGTAACTCGAGGTCTCCTCATTGATTATCTATGAATAGTAAAGCCCAATTTCTGCGAAAAATGGCTGGGAACTGATCATAACGCTGGAAGTGGTAATGTAAAAACCAATAAAGTTTTTTGATTCATTTAAAAAAAACTATGTACGCATGAGAGATATCAGAGCTCTAGATTTAGAGGGCATCTTTTAAAATTGTAGAGGGAATTGGAAAAATTAGATCACTAAAAAAAATGAATATGAAAATCAAAAAAACAGTTAGAACTCTCATGAATAGATTTCCAAATTGAGGCTCAATTTGAAAATTTTTCCTTCCTAAATTTCTAATTACTCAATTTTCTATTATTTTGTTTTTCTGGTTTTTCGTATTATTAATCACGCTTGTTATCAAAATGTGTACGCCTTAAAATTATAAAATATTAGCCATCTGTTGCTAGTTGCCATAACTCAATTTATCGCAAGCTTGGAAATCCGAAAATCAAATCGTGGTTAAATCTGAAAAAGATTCGATGAAACTTTATGACCGGTGGTCAAATTAAACTTTTGCCAAGCATTCTGGAAAGTGGTCATCCGAAATGGAATTTAAAGGCAATTACGTTAAAGGTTTGTAGAAATACTCTAAGGATGTAGGTTTTGTAACTCGAGTACTTCTTTCAAAGCAACTAACGTTAAAAAATCAAATAAAGTGTGTGAAGCAAGTTGCCACAATATTTTCAATTCAATTAACGAACTCTATAATTTAAACTTCTGTGTAGAAACATACTATTTTCTTTATACCTTCTAAACCATTCGCCCACTGAAAACAATCAGTCACAAAAAGAGTAACTGAAATAAAAGTATTTTACAAGCATCAAGGAAATGTGTATTGGTATAAAAGTTGGAAAAACAATTGGGCAAATTTAGCGTCTCAAGTGTTACAATGCGTATGCTCTAACAGCAAAAGATGTAAAAGCCTACATATTTAGGTCCTTAAGCGATACATTTCATCAATCGTGAGATGTCCAAAAGTATAGTTGGATTTTAATAAAGAAAATGTTTGGTAACTCTACCATTAAAAGGCAATTTTAAAATAGCTTTGGATGCGAAAGCTTCAAGACATATGCAACAAACCGATCTTGATATATTACTGGTATAATACATATTTATAAAGCAATGTTCAGATAAACCCAAGTGGCTTCCTTACACAAAATATAACGACAAAAAAACTCATTAGTTCACTAGGAAAATGGAACGTGTTTTTACCGTGAAGTTTCTAATCCTTTCTGTGGATCGCGGTCTCAAAACAAAACACTTTAGGATATTAATGCGAATTCGAAGATTAATGAACTGATAATCTCCTACAAGTTCGGATTAGCAGTACAGTTTGGGTGACAGTTAAGTTAACTCCTTGATTAAAATCGCGCCACCGCAATTCCATATCCGTGAGTTCACTAACAACATGGATTAATTAACCGGCCGTTTGTTATTAGTTTGTGATAATTATGTAAACTATATAACTTTGTTTATCCTCGACAAAGAGTTAATTATCAAATTATGCCTCGTTTGAAGGTGGAAACACTATCGATGGCATTCCACATTCGTAAAGAGCCTTAATATAAAACTAGTGCCAAATTTATTTTTAGAAATATACCTCTATAGGCCCCAAGCAACAAATCGAAATGTTTGAAAGTCCGTAAACGTCGATCATGCTTTTTTAAATAACACAAGAGCCTCTTAAGATTTGAAGCCGAACTACTTTTACATACCAAAGAGATTCGGCTCTCAATGTGATGAAAAATTCAGTTCGAGATATAGAGGGCCTTTTTTTCGTAAAGTGGCTAAAATTTGATCGATTTGGAGCAATTGCCAAAACACTCCTTTTCCATCAGATAAAAAGTGTTTTTCAGTAGACGGATAAAATTGTTTCGATAACAGGTTTCACCTTTTTACCTCGAATATTAGCAGATAAACTATGAACTGAGTTATTTCAATAAGCATCAGTTACAAAAATGGGAAATTTTAGCTGTCCAACTCGATACCGAACAGTTTTCGAGGTATTATCGGAATCGGTGCAATCAAAATCGGATTATGTCGGCAACAATTCTATGAACAATACTGCCGTAAATTTGATCCTTTGTGAAAAGTAAAGCAAATGGAAAGCGATGCGGTTAATGTTTCTTTTGTTTTCCGCCAAAGCGTCCGATCCAATCCGCGATAATTCAGAGATTAGTTGTGAAAAACGTTCAGATTTTGAATAATTTCAGAAACGAATTATTTATATTCAGAATATATATTATTCAGAAATGAATAATATCAGCGGCCTTTTTCAGCTGATTTCAGAACTGAATATGTTTTAGCGTTATGCAGATATGCGTAATTTATTCAACTTTGTAACTGAGTATCTTGAATTTAATTTATTTGGTTTTTCAGGAAAGTGTATGTTATTGTTTGAAAATAGCTAAGTAATCGGCTAAACGTACTAGATACACAATGTCCCATCGCTTGGATGTTATTTGTCAACAAACAATTCGATTCTCAAAAGCAAACAAGTCAATATCTCATGAAATCCGATCAAATGGAAACCTTTAGCCGATTGACATGCTCGATCCATTTTAATACATTTTGTCTGTACAAAATGGGGAGCCTCTTAAAATGCTAATAATTCCGTCAGTGTATCTGCCCGGAGGGAGACAAAAGTCTGTCCTATGAAGAAATAAACATCGCCATTGCAATAAATACCAGTTAGGGTTGAAAGAAAAGTGCCTAGTTGGGAGACTCAAAGGTAGCAAGAACGAGCGGAAGGAAAAGAAATAATTGTGGAAGACTTGTTCCAGGGGACACGATTTATTTTTTAAAGATTCATGGAACTATTTGTCCTCCTAATAATTTAGAGAACGGCCGGGATAGAAAGGTTAATCTTCTATTCAATCTTGTTAGAAAATGGGTCTGCGATTTTTTTATTCTGGCTTTTCCGTTTCGAAATTTACTACATAAAATATCGGAAATCGAAAGGGGCATTTGTTTGCATTCAGTATGTTTGAAAGCTTTATTTAATAGTTTATTCAGACCTAATTATTGCAAATGGAAATTTTGAGTATGTATTTGTTGTTAGTGGCGTGCAATAACATTTCCCCAGTTGCCAACATGAATATTTTCTTAGCTCAGAAATATCATAAGATTAAATGTAAACATAAGATCAGATGTAGAACACCTATAAGAACATAATTTGCCTCAAGCGTTCAGCGAGCAATAAATCGCTAGTAAAGTTTCGTTAAAGTTATCACAAGAAGTACAAAAAATCTGAAGGAATTAATACAAGTTGTGGATGAAAACGGGGACAGACTTTAGCGGCCATCGCCTAAAACTGATGAAGTTTTCCAGCGTTTAGACCTCTTCTTTTTCTTCTTTGTCATCTCTGTCTGCCCCATCGTACGATATCTTGTGTCCCACATAGTTGTTCCATCTGTTCGGGACTCTTTTTCTTAATGTTTTACCTGTTATTGATCTTGATCTTTTGATTTCTGTTATTCTGAGTAATTTTTTTGAATCGGCTGTTTCAGCTCTCGTTAAGGTAGAATATGTTAATAATGGCCATGACTTTATATATGCGTATTTTCCCGTCCAGCCTCATATCTTTATTCCTCATAAGCTGCTTTATTAGCCTGCTTTCAAACACATTGTTTAAGATGTCCGTAGATTGATATATAAATTCCCAGATACTAAAACTTGTTCGATTATTTCTTCGTTAATTACGATTTTTCTCGTCTGGGTTCCCTTGCTAGTATGAGTCATTTGGTCTTAGATGTTGATATCTGCATATTGTAGGTTTCTGCCGTTGTTTTAAAGGTATGCTTCAAGTGCTGCAGATTATGTTCATTATCCGAGATCAGAATCGGGTCGTCCGCATAACAAAGAAAGTTTATCTGCCCATCCGCGTCTTACCTTCTCTGCTTCTCCTATAATTGTGTATATTAATAAATTGAATAATAGTGGACTTAGGCTATCCCCCTGATCTGTTCCAGATTTAATGTCTACTTCCGATGTTCTTTCATCCTCGAGTTTAATTTAAGTTTCGGTGTCTCTGTTGATGTTTCTTATTATCTCTACTAAAGTGCTGGGCTGGTTTTCTTATTTAAGTAATTTTAGCACTTCTCCTAATCCCACGTAATCAAGGGCTTTAGTCAGATACACAAAGCATGTGTAAGCAGGATAGTTATATTCAATTGATTTCTCAGCAGTTTATCTGA